TCCCTTTCAACAAAAAGCACGTGGTTTGTTACCCACATTACAATATATGTTGACCTATAGTAGTTTTAAACATGCATTTATCAGAGTGTAAAATAAGTGTTTGTCAACAAGCAGTCAAGAAAGAAAGCAGTGACAGGTTTAAATGAGCTTTAATAGAAAGGCACATATACAGCCAGAGTGAGAATTAAAAGCTTTTAAATGCATAAACAGTTTAAAATAAACTCCTCCAATCAGAAGTGACAGTCTCTGCCAGATCAGCTAAACTGTTTGTTGTTCTGTCGTTCATGAATTCAAGTGTCAAAACTAAATCACAGCCGCTTTCATCCGAACTGAGATCCGATTACCCCATTGGCTCTTTTGTAGCCCCCAGCTTTGTGTGTGTGTGTGTGTGTGTGTGTGGGTGGAAGAAGTCTGTAACAATGGCTCAAAATCAGATCTTTCCAGTCTTGCCGTGAGTGAGTGAGAAATGTCTGTTACCTCATTAATTAATCCAGGTTAAATAAAAGCAATAAATATAAATAAATATAACCCGATGACATCATGAAGTGAGAAATGTACCTGTGTTCACAAACCAGGGGGGTTAAACAGGACAAGATAATCAGGAAAACCATTCACTGGAGGGGGGGAAAAGGCAAGATTCACAGAATGAGACTGAAATGAATCTCAGTCGAGTGAATGGTCTGTTTTTCTCTGATGTAATTCTAGCAGTACTGCTTTGTGTGTGTGTGTGTGTGTGTGTGTGTGTGTGTGTGGGTGGAAGAAGTCTGTAACAATGGCTCAAAATCAGATCTTTCCAGTCTTGCAGTGAGTGAGTGAGAAATGTCTGTTACCTCATTAATTAATCCAGGTTAAATAAAAGCAATAAATATAAATATCTATAACCCGATGACATCATGAAGTGAGAAATGTACCTGTGTTCACAAACCAGGGGGGTTAAACAGGACAAGATAATCAGGAAAACCATTCACTGGAGGGGGGGAAAAGGCAAGATTCACAGGTTCTTAAATGTGTTAATAAGGTCAAACTTAAGTTAGATTACAAGGCTATGATGCTACGCAACTAAAACTGTGCGTTCCAGAGAGCACACTGAAAAACTAAAAACATGCAAATTGCATTTTTCGGGTTGTGGGTTCGGCAGCCATTTTGTTCACCTTAACTGTACTGCAGCGCTTTAATGAAAATGGCCACCTTCACATACAAAAATACACTTAAAGCAGTTGCGGCCGCTGCGCCGCAGCGTCTGTGTGGGAAAGCCTTGAGAGGAAGGTCTGAAAACTGCGTGAAAACACACAAACGCAGAGTTGAACGCTGCCTGAATGATTGGTTGCACTACACCGGTCTCTATCTCTAGCACTCGCTCAGCTTTGTTCCTTATATCATTCATCTTGTTGGTCTTTACTGACTGACATCCATACAAACAGGCCCAAAAAACACACAAATACAGTCCCAGACTCTTGGTGTTGTTCATTCAGGCTTGTCCCGCTCTGCCAATGAGACATCATCAGGGTGTTGGGTGAGACTGTTGACTTTTTTTTGGCCGTAGAGGGTCTGAAAGCTAACCAGCAACAACACACACTCACACACAAACAAACGATCTACTGCAGTACTGATGGGTCGTATTCATCCTTATTTTGCTCCCGTAGAGGTATCTGTGGTTTAGTGGTGCTCGTCTCCCCTCTTTGCTGCTTCTTTGTTCACACCATCCCCTCTTCCTCCTACTGTCGTCTGATCCGTTTCTTCCATCCCCATCGTCTCGTGCCTCTATTTCTGGATCTGAAAGATGAAGAGGCGGAGGTTGATGTTTTTGGCAGCCAGCAGCTTGTTGCACTCCACGCTGTCGTTGATGGGAAGCAGGGCGTACTCGGTTTCGTTGGTGTCGTTGGAGAAGACGTGGTGCTGGATAACAGGTTTGATTTTCACATCATCGTATGGGCCCTTCAGGAGCAGGAAAGAGCACTCCAGTGCAGAGTTCACTTTGCTCTTCAGGATGAGCTGGAAGGAGAGCGTGCGTTTGCAGGACAGGTTGGGGTTGCGCTCTGAGTCGTTGATCCGTGCCTTCAGCACCCAGGTCTGGTTTAGCACTGTGAAGCGCGGCGTCTCATAGTACAGTCGCGTGATGAAGTCGTCAGTGCGGTACGGCCGGAACTGCACCTCTGGAGCAAAGACGAATAAGTTTACAGGTTATTAGCTTACTTCAGCCCAGATTTCTGTGCTTTAAATCAAGCAATTTTCCTGTAGCTGAGTAATATTCAAGTTCTAGAAGCATGTTAAAGAACCCAAACAAGAATAGTTCGCCCAAAAATTTTTATTTGCTGAAAATGTACTCCCCCCTCAGGCTATCCAAGACGTCGATGAGTTTCTTCATCAGAACAGATTTGGAGAAATTCAGCATTACACCATTACTTACCAATGGATCCTCTGCAGTGAATGGGTGCCGTCAGTTTGAGAGTCCAAACAGCTGATAAAAACAACACAATAATCCACAAGTAATCGATTAACGTATTGTGAAGTAAAAATCTGTGTGTTTGTAATACATCCATCAAGACATTGGCTTATAAATGGTGCTTGATCTATGCATATTTCTGAATCTCCTGGTTCAGCTGAGACAACATTTTTAACTGGAGAAAGCAATATCATGGATTATGATGGAGTATTTTAGTTTTGAAATTAAAAACCATCTTAATGATGAATATATTACAAACACACAGCTTTTCACTTCACAAGACATTGATTGATAGACTGGAGTCATGTTTTTATCAGCTGTTTGAACTCCCATTCTGACGGCACCCATTCACTACAGAGGATCCACTGGTAAGCAAATAGTGTAATGCTGAATTTCTCCAAATCTGATGTAATGAAGAAATAAACTCATCTACACCTTGGATGGCCTGAGGGTGAGTGCATTTTCAGTAAATTTTCATTTTTGGGTGAACTATTTCCTTTAAGGTTTTTATGTACCTGTAAAACCGATCTTCTCAAAGCACAGCAGGCTGAAGATGCTGTTGTAGAGCTGTAGCTCTCTGCGATGGCTCTGGTCCATCTCGTCCAGGATGCCCATCAGCTCCATGCCGGTTTTAGATGGGTGGGAACACTCTGCCTCATGAGCGCTGAGCTCATGGAACGGCCCCTGCCACGGGCAGCCAATCCGCTTGTACTTGCACTGCGTCACTCTATTTCCAATAGAAATAATTAAAGAAATTACCAACCATCATCTCTAAAGATAAAGTATAAAATGAATAAGCACTGAATCAAGTAAGTCATTTGTGAAAACTATATTATCACTCATAAACTTATCCAACTACACACATCCATATAGTACACTCACATAAAGTGATATATACTATATTATCATATCTCAAATGCTTGATTGTTTACATCATTGCAAAATGTAAAATATATTAACACCCAGCTCTAATCTGCTAAATGTGACTATAAAGGCCCATCCACACCAAGAACAATAACTATATCAGTGTCCACACCAACTCACATTAAAGATCTGTTTATTATAAGTCCGCTACAGTTGTGTGAGTTAGCAGTTATTTGCCACTGCTTGAGCTTTTTAAAGCAGGGTGGATTCTGATTGGCTTCCAACAATATTATCATTGTAGTTGTGGTGTGGACTTATTCTTTTACATTTAAAATGATTTTTAAAACTATATCTTTATCGTTATAGTTATTGTCCTTGGTGTAAATGAGCCCTAAGGCATGAAAATATCAAAATATTATAAACAAAACATCACGATTTTCTGTAAATGTGTATTGTGAAAAGAACTATACAAATAAAATTGACTCGACTTAAATATTTGTATATTATATAATTATAAATGTTTTATAAATCAGGGCTCTGAACCGGTTCAAGGAACGAAAACAAACGAAATTTTGACAGGAACAGAAACAGAAACGAAATCAAATTTTATAGTTCCGAACAGAATCGAAAAATGGCCATTAACCGGTTAATAACGTTATTTTATGTAATATTTGAAATTTGCTGTCAACCAATCAGGAATTCAAGTAGTAGGCTATGGCCTGCAAATGTGACACTGACGCATCCAGCGATTGAAATGCCCGCGCTCAGCTGTGAACTCATCATAGGTAAGTCGCAATGGCAGTGCACCGGCGTAACGCCGGGACACACCACACCGACGGTCGGCGCGCGTCTGCCGTGCTAGTTGGTTTGGTGTGTTGCACACGTCGGCGGGAGTTTGAATCGGTGTCGGGACCGTCGGGGAAAGTGAGAACTCTGATTGGATGCCTAGTTTCGCGAACGTGTCAGTGCCGGAGAATTAAAGCGAAAGTGATGAAAACGAGTAAGTAGATGAGGGCGGCAAAAACAGAAGACTGTTCTAATGTTACAAGCATTCCAATATGTTAATATTATC